GCTCAACTATTAGTTCCATGAAGACAACAGCCATGCCTGCTTTGTTCACTGAAATTTCTGTATTTCCTAACACATAGAGGGTCATCATTTTCTGATGGATGAATGAGAGAGTGAATGAATGCCTAGTCTTGGAGACATCAACTTGCAATAAAGGTTAAATGAAGGAAATGGATGCCAGTGGAAGATCTGTGGATCTGTTTCACCAGATTTCACTGTGCTGACTCAGCAAAAGGGTCCCCAAATGAAAGGATATGTGATATATGAATGCCTAGCCACCTGTCTGTGAACAAACAGGGATTTCTTTAACTTTCTTCCACCAGCAGATACTCCCCTGGCATTTTTCAAGAGTCTTTTTCCCTATAAAGGTAAAAGTTATGTCCTCATAGTCACAGTGGGCTGCTTTATCGTATAATCTGACATCAGAATGGAAAAAGAGAGTATGTTTTTTAAGTTCCTTAAAATGCAGTTCTATTGAAAATAGCTGTTGAGATACATGCGTAAAATAAGCCGCTTAGGAATAATAAAGAGACATGATAGAGTTACAGAAATGTGTTATTGTGTTTTACCCAGAAAATATTATGCAATCTGGGGATAAATTTACTCCTTAAGAATTTAATAAAAATTTATATAATCTTCTATGAGTTTTGCTTCATAGTGTAATGAATTCACTAGGGCTCTTGATGTTTGGATGTGGCCTTTTGGTTTTGGTGGGAAATATTTTGACATAGTCTAAAAAGTTTAGAGACAAACCCTAAAAATGTATCTACTTTAATTATGAATACATTGTGACTCAGATATTTCCCATCTTTGAACTTCACCCCATCTCCAACCTAGACTCCTCAGGGTAAGGATTAGGGCTGAGATGAAATCAGGGATGGGCCAGTGACAAAGGCGGCGGCAGGTGGGGGTGGGTATGGAAATGAGGGCTCAAAGGCCGACTCACTACTTGGAAAGAGGAGTCACATTCTTACCACACTTGCACATCTCAGGAGCCATCCCTCATCTAAATCAGGAGGCTGCTTGTTTTCAGTGAATTCACTTGTATCGCGTGTACCTCAATGTCTCAGATTTCTCTCTGAAATGGTCTTTGTCATCGCCATTTGCTTTTAGTTAATACAGAGATGTGTTCATTTAATGGAGATACTCGTTCTGTTTTTTCATTTGAAAAATCTGTAGGACGAACACCTCTGTTTTAAGTTGACTCCTTGATTCCATACCCTATTTGAGTGGTTACAGATTATGGTTACAGATTATCCACTGGGCAAGGTGGAGGTGGTAGTAGGAAGAGGATGTTTGTTACACAATAGGATCTCATATTCTCCAGATTTCACAGAAAACAGTTCAATTCTAACAGTTTTCTCAGTAGCCCTTTATATTTAAGCATCTGGCTTATTGTTAAACTTCTTCAAAATGGAGTTTTTGGGGGAAACAGGTGATCAGCCTTACAGCCTAATCTGATCAATTCTAATATAATTTAAATGCCTGTGCTGTTTTTCTGATTTTAAAATTAGAATTTGTTCATACAGAATAACATACTTTCTATATTCAAATAATCGAGAAGTGAGATTTTAAAAGAGGAACATTCTCCATGATCAAGTTTGAGGTTATGGATGGAATAAAAGTCAGGGACCAAAGCAAACTGATTGTGAATTGCTGATGCACGAGCTTTAGGGCTGCTCACTGGCATGGGCCCTGTCAGGAGCCCAAAGAGGGCCCCAGTCATATGTCCATATAGTTACTTGCTTCTGCAAAATGTGTAAAAATAAAATATTTTAACTTCAGCTAATGAAGGCAGTTCTTTCTACTCTCTCCTGCTCTGGAGTGGCACTGGGTTACCACAGGCATTTTGGAGAGCCAGGAACAGGACAGCTGAGTTGGGGATCCATTTAGGTTTAGGTTGCAGGCGTCCTCAAACTACGGCCCCGCGGGTGGCATGCGGCCCCCTGAGGCCATTTATCCGGCCCCCCGCCGCACTTCAGGAAGGGGCACCTCTTTCATTGGTGGTCAGTGAGAGGAGCACAGTTATGTGGCGGCCCTCCACCGCTCTGAGGGACAGTGAACTGGCCACCTGTGTGAAAAGTTTGGGGATGCCTGGTTAGAGGGTCTACCGTTTGCAGTCAGATCCATGTAGAGCTATTTAGCCCCTTGTTTTGGTGTAGAAATTACTACATGTCCACTCCTACCATCCACTGCTCTGACCTGCCAACATTATGAAACAAAGTTGTGGAGCCAGAGCTTACATGTGGCATGTGCTTGAACAATGGCTCCCAGCACTGAAAGACTGTGGGTGATGGAGGAGAAATATGGTTTGAAATATACAAAGCCAGAAGCTAGCATGTGGAAGTTTTTTCCAATCATCAGACATGTAAAATTTTAAGAGAACCATCCAGTCTCATCAAAACAAGTTCTCTGCTTCCAGGAAGATGATTAAAAATATATTTGATAGGCCAGGTATGGTGGCTCACACCTGTAATCCCAGCACCTTGCGAGGCTGAGATGGGTGAATTGCCTTAGGTCGGGAGTTTGAGACCAGCCTGGCCAACATGGTAAAACCGTCTCCACTAAAAATACAAAAAATTAGCCGGTGTGGTTGCACATGCCTGTAATCCCACCTACTAGGGAGGCTGAGGCAGGAGAATTGCTTGAATCTGGGAGGCAGAGGTTGCAGTGAGCCGAGATTGTGCCATTGCACTTCAGCTGGGCGGCAAAGTGAGACTCCATCTCAAAAAAAAAAAAAAAGTATTTGATACATTTAGAGATATTTTGGAAATCTCTCAAGAGGAAATTTATTAGAATTATTATGTTTGTAGAACACACATATGTAGCAGTACTACAAACACTCAATCTTTGTGAAGTTACATGTTTTATTTATCCCAACATGTCAATTACATGAATGTATTAGAAAAATATTTACATGTCTGACTTAAAATGCTGACAGCAACAATAACATGAAACGTATAACATATACATTGACTAGTTATTCAGTTTTGTTCATTCAAAGAGTATTTAAGAGTAGTCACTGCATAAAGGAAACTTGAAATGTGCTGAAATCTTACAGTTCATGTAAGGAACACTTGAGAGAAGTTTCCTCGAATCTGACAACATCCTAAGAATTTATTAATATATGTATTGCCCCTAAAATTATGCTAAAAGCAACTTTTCTAAACTATTAGTAATCAAAAATAAATTTTGATCAATGATCCTAGAAGAAAGAGAAAGAGGATTATCTTTCTCTTTTAAGGATTGATCTTACAAAAGTAATGGCATATGAAGGGATTATCAGAAAGCATATGGTCAAGAAATGTAGAAAAAATTATTCAGAGGTATGCTAGGTGGTTCATTTAAAAACCCTTTTTTTGGTTGATGTTTGTGCTTTTGCAACTTTAAAAAAATTTATTTGTTGTTTTCTTCTCGTTCTAAATAAACACATATTTTCATATCTAATTTATCCTTTAAAAAAAAATCAAATATAAGACTCAGGTCCTACAAGACCTGAATCCAATACTAGTAAGGGATATCATTTTCATGTTTTTGAAAACATGGAGATTTTACATGTTGACGAGGTAGTTTGACATCAAATGGCTGCATTAAAGTGTTAGATTAAAACGCCCTCCTTTGAACCAGACCCATCCCAGGGGCGAGGCTTGGGCATTGCAGGATCAAACCTCACACTCACAAAGTAAGCCTTTGACTTTATCTCCAAGTGAGTTTGTAACTACAGTTACCAGGAAAGTAGAAGTGACTCATCACACACCTTTCTATGTGTGTCCTGTTACCACACGGCATGCCTGGGATGCACTTGAATTGATATTTAAAAAATTATGGCTAGCACATTAGAGCGCATTAGATTTTGTTTTCTTGTTAAAGGCATTGCTTTGTTAAATGTAAACCTTTAAAAGATGCCACAGTTTCTGTAACCTGGCCTTGACCTTGGGAAGGTTCTGCCATGCCTCTGCTACTGACCCTTGGGCTGAGAAAGTTGTACTGGACTTTTCTGTCTCTTTTCCTTAGTGCCTGGCACACAGTGGGGTCTCAAATATTAGTTTTTTGCTTTCCTCCTCCTTTCATTCTTTCTTGGGGCAGATTTTTTCTTCCTGTCAAGTATGAGGAAATTTTACAAAGCAAAATCATACTAACACATTACAATTGTATTATCAAATGACTGCTTTTAGTAAGTTGTCTGGAGGAGCAGAGTCTAGGTTATGGGCTGTGCAATATGGTACCTAGGAACTGTCTTCACACCTAAAGTATGTTTTCATTGGTTCCCACAGGACTGCAACTAAGCCAAATAACAATAAACTAGAGTGAAATGCATTTACCAAGAGGAAGACTTTGGTTTAACTGAAGAGTGACATACTTAAAACTCTAGTCCTTATGGATAGAATAATACTAAATTATCATAATGCTACATTGTAAGCCCTTTATAGTGTATGGGGTGCTTCCAAATTTATCATCTCATGAAGTCCCTTTAACAACTTTTAAGTGTGGGTATCACCTTCATCCTAATTTTACAGGGAACAATACAGTGTGAGGAATTAAGTGATGGACCCAAGATCCCTTAACCAATAAATGGAGAAGCCAAAAGTTGGACCCAAGATGATATGACTTTTATGACCCCTGAATTTTTAAGGCATGTATATTATTGCTATTCAAGGACAGTCCCAACCTTTATGACAGCCCCCGTCTCTCCCTTTAACTCTACTAAGATGGAAGTCCCTGTGGAAAAAACTCAGATGTAGGATAATGAGCAAGAAGCAGTTCTTGCTCTGAAAAAGTTGACAGTCCAGGGACACATTGGGCCACATAAACAACCAACCATAATCCAGTGTGTACAGGGATCAAAGAGCCACAGATAAAATGCAGTGAATCAATGAGCAGAAGAAATCACCAGAGGAGAAAATATTTGTAGTCTACCCAGTTTTAGCCATCAGACACTGCCATATTGTTGCTCAATTATTAATTTTCATGTGGTTGTAATTAGTACAATTACTTAGAATAAATTTTTTTTTTTTTTTGGTTTTCATTTTTTACTGAGTTTCATTCAGCAAACCTGAACATCTTATGGGGCCTCCAATGCCCGCCATCTTCCAGAACCACAGCTGGCCACCCAGATGCCATTCAAGAAGTGTCCATCGTTTGGACTGTTTCTTCCAGCACCTCAATTTCCAGAGTAGTGACTTTTTCAGTGAGGATTGCAGTGGTCCCTTTCTCACACCTGTACCGCCCAAACCTGGTCCCCTTCTTCTTGGGCACTGTGTATGGGCGGAGAAAATCCAGCTTGCTCTTGCTGATGACACAGAGATCAATGTTGCTTCCCGAGCCCAGGTCATTGAAGATGCCGGCGGCAATGGCTTCGCTCACCAGCTTCTTGGCTTCCTCCTCCTCCATGTCTGGCTTAAACTTATCTTCAAATACAGCCATTGCTGCCAAGGAGCCAGAACCCATGGTGACAATTACTTAGAATTATAGTACATTAACTTCTGCTGCATCTTGGAGTCACTCCTAAGTTTACACAGCAAATATATCCGGAGTTTAGGGATTTGAAAGGAATATAATACAATTTCACCACAGTACTAATGTGTTTTTCCATATCCTAGTTATCTGACTTTTAAATTTATATAGTCTCTTTAATTTTAATATCTTTTCATTTGTATTTTCTGTTCTAATTAAGTCCTTGTCCTTGAGATCAAAATGAGGCATTTCATGCCATCTAGCTATAGTTAGGGCTTAAATCAGATTTCTGGTTGGAATAAATTACTGTTTAAAATTATTTTTTTCAATTTTTAATTTTGTTTTTTACAGAGTCAGGGTCTCACTATGTTGCCCAGGCTGGTCCTGAACTCCGGGATTCAAGAGAGCCTCCCCTCTTGGCCTCCTAAGGTGCTGAGATTACTGGCATGAGCCACCATACCCAACCCTAAATTACTAAATAAGGGGCTTTCAGCTCTTGCTTTTCCTCCATTTAATCTATTTTTTTTTTATTGTGCGGCATCTGAAGAGATACACGGAATTATGCACCCTATTAACTGCTGCTCATGAAAAAAATTAAAAGCAAATACTACTGAGTCACATGGAATTTAAAAAATCCGTCTATGGGGACAGAGACTATTTCTTTGCCTGAGATTATTTAGGGAGGTTTTTGTGTGTGTGTGTTTAAATGAAATTATATGCTGAAATTCTTTTCACTTTTGTCTGTCAGCGTGGTGTCTTGGTTATGAACGTATTCTAGCAATATGAATTTTGTGCTGGCAATTTTCCCAACTCTCCTCTGCTACATGTGAAAATAGGATATTTGCTGGTGATGAATTCAGATAGACTGTTCTAAGTTTGTCCATTAAGCAACAGACTAAATTAACTGTTTAACTTGAAATTTGAGGGAAAATCCTAGACTTTAATGCCTCCTCCTGCAGATTGTTGTCCCAAATATGCCCCACATGGAAATGCTTTGTCCTTTTTTTTAATTCCATTCTAGTCTCCTTGCCTCTTTTAAAAAATTTAGCCCCTTCTAACACTCTCTCCCAGCACCTTAGAGCAGGGACACGTGTATTTGCAAAGCCTCTGTTTTCATATTTAATTTTTTTCTATTTTTCAGAGAGCGGGGGTGCATGTTCTCCACTCTTTTTCTTCTGATGCCTCTCACCCATACTGCTTGTAGCTTCATTTTGTTTTGTTTGATTGTTTGCTTGAGTTCTTTCTCTCCTCTATATCATCATCCTAGACCATGGTCTAAGGACCAGTCTTCCTTTTTGCATACTTTTCTCTTCCTACCCGAACACTATACTCCCACAATCAGTTAGCTTTCAGTGTAAATTGGTGACAACATTGATAGCCTTTGAGTTATGTGTGGCTCTCAATGTCAGGATTATTTTTCCCAAGTTACAAAACTTTTTATTTATTCATACTTAGAGAAAAGAAAGCATTGACTCACAGACCTGCAAAGTCCAGAGATGGAACTTTTGGCACGTATAGATCTGGTGGTGCAAACTTCCAACTTCCTCCATGAGGCGGGCCTGGCAAATCTGGCTATTTCCTGACAAATCCAGTCCCAGCAGAAGAAAACATTTTCTTTTCTGATATTGCAATGCAACGTTTCTGATCAGCCCTTGATTGAACGAGTTCAAACCAAAACCAGGAGAACTTAGGCGGGAGAAGTGGTAACCAAATGAAAAGAAGGTGTTAGTACAAAAGATGGGGGAATGGATGCTGGCTAGGCAAACTCAAGTATCCATTATCATCTCCTTCCTAGGCAGACTGTGATCCTTTCAGAGCTCTTGTTTCTGTATTTGGATTTTGAACCCTATCCACCTGTATCAAAAATACTGTAAAATATAGTATTTTCACTTAACAGCAAATCATGACCGAAGAGTAACTGGACAGTGTTTTAAATTTCATCACTTTTAGAAATGTGGCAGGAAATAAATGCCTGCTATTTTCCCATCTCTATGAGTGCTAACAATAGTTTGGGCAATAAAGAAAATTCTTGGTGACTGTGTGATACGGCTCTACTGTTGACCCCACATACCTTTGTGTACCCTTTAGTCTCAGAATGTGGCTCTATTCCAGGGCTTGCTTGATGTTGGCCTGGCTCATCTCTGTCCAGAGAAAGGCATGCTGGGTGCTTCACAATTGGATTCTGGCCATTGGACAGTAACACAAATTATTTCCTAATGTGTGTTGTGTGTCTTACTAGTTGGGTTGCTTTGCTCAATAGTCTTAACCTCACGAATCTTTAGCTAATGTCATATTAAATTCCTACTTCAAGGCCAGGCGCGGTGGCTCATGCCTGTAATCCCAGCAGTTTGGGAGGCTGAGGTGGGCAGATTGCCTGAGGTCAGGAGTTCGAGACCAGTCTGGCCAATGGTGAAACCCTGTCTCTACTAAAAATACAAAAAAATTAGCCAGGCATGGTGGTGTGTGCCTGTAACTCCAGCTATTTGAGAGGCTGAGGCAGGGAAATTGCTTGAACCAGGAAGGTGGAGGTTGCAGTGAGCTGAGATTGTGCCACTGCACTCCAGTCTGGGCAACAGAGCAAGACTCTGCCTCAAAAAATTAATTAATTAATTAAATTCCTACTTCACAGAGTGGCTTTAAGGGTCATTTGAGTCAATGTGAATGTAACCTTGCACATAGACATTGATGGGGAACTGGAGGTTATCACTGGAGACACAATCTGAGAGCACCAGCCTCCTGCTTGGACCTGTGACTCTGCCCTGTCAGAATTTTCTTCTGTCTCGTTTTGTCATCACATCTCCTTTACCTGTTCACCTGTTTGGTGAATCCTTTGTGAGCTTATTATAGTTTTTATTGCACTTATTGAGTGCACACTACATCTAAGCATCTTAGATTGTTCATCATTTGATCCTCACAACAAGACTACAGGTAAGTAGTATTTTATTTTTTCCATTTGGCGGATAGGAACACTGAAACTTAGAGAGACTGTGTGGAAGGAGGAGGACAATTGATCTCGAATTTGTGAAGACAGGCTTGGTTTTGGCCAGACATGGTGGCTCATGCCTGTAATCCCAGCATTTGGGAAGGCTGAGGCAGGAGGATCACTGGAGCCCAGGAGGCTGAGGCTCAGTGAGCGGTGATGGTACTGCTGCACTCTATCCTGGGTGACAGAGTAAGACCCTGTCTCAAAAGAAAGAAAGAGAGAAAAAAAGAGACAGGCCTGGAGCTTGGGTCAGAATCAATCTGATACCCTTGGAACTTCCGTGTGCCTAACAATCACCTGCAGGTATTCAAAGTGGAGATTTTTGGAGCTCACCCTCAAAGGTTCTGATGTGTTGGCCCTGGAGTAGGCTAGAGAAGTCCGCATTTACAGCAAGATTACCAAGTGATTCTCCACAGGTGGTCCTCAACCCGCAGGCCCAGAGGGGGACTTCAGATGACTGAACTGCCTTTCTGGGGTTTCCTATCTTTTCTAGTTTCTCTGGGCAAAGGACTGAACTGTACTGCTACCTAGAGGCCCATGCATCTGCCCTGCCGCCCCCAGCACAGTTGCCCTCTCCTGGCTTCCTACTTCTCCAAACAATTCTTTAAACCTTTGAGTATCCAGGTAATCTGAGCTCCCTTTGAATCTTTAACACCTGAACACTTGCTGAGAGTGCATATATTAGCCTTGTTCCTATTAGTATCTGCTGTGCACTTTGCTTAAAGCACAAACTCAACAAATATTCATTCTTTACTATTGTATTGTGTAGATATCCATTTAGTTCTCTTCAATTGATATGTCTGGTTTTCCTCAACTAGGTTGTAAGATGCTTGAGAAGAAGAACTGGTCTTCAATTTCTTCTGTATTACTTAAGGGCTCTCCGTATTTACAAGATGCTCAGCAAAGATTACTGACTCATTCAGTTACAACAGAAGGTGTATAATCAATGTTTGTTGAATTAATTAACTGTCCAAAGGTAACCACTATTCTGTCATAGATGATGGGATTTTTGACTCTGGAAATCATTTGAACATTTATACTTGGTTTTCCACCTTAAATATTCAGAGAGGAGGAAACAAAAAATAACCCAATTTCAGCCTCAGAGGTAAAATATTTAACTACTCAACATTCTTTGTTTTGCACGAGGAAATGTTTAACCAAGATTCCTCAGGTTACAGTCAGATGGTCAAATTTTCAAAAACAAATGTGCACACACAAGTAGGCAGGCATGATTTACCTCAAAATGCAACTGCTTGTGGGTTATGTCTCTACTTCTGTTTATAGGACCTCAAATTTTTTCTAAAGCTCAGATTAGCTGAATAAGTGCTTTGTCCTTCAGCACAAAAGTCATCATCAAAGACAATTGTTGAGAACCCTGACGGTTGGTCGTAGCATAAGTAGAGGTAGAATTATAAGATAAAAATGCTTGCCTTCAATAAGTTTACAGTCTAATTGAAGTGACAGTGAATGAGCATAAATCATAATTGAGAATAAACAATTATGTTAGGAATTTCTAGAATCATGAAGATTATCTAGTTCAAACCTCTTACATTTCAGATAACAGAGTAAGGTCAGTGGAAGAGATACTGAGTGGTAAAATATTGTGTCAAGGTCATAGAGAATGTAAAAGGTTAAAGGCATTAGCTTGAACTAGAGCCCTGGTTCCTGTTCTGTTATTTATAGGGCCTTTCCAGACCCCAGCAAAACCTAAACTAAGAAAAAAGTTTGCATTTTGCCAGAGCCTTAACAACCTGATGGGGATGACCAGGGCTGTAAGGCCTGTCAGTCTGGAGGATTGTTAGTCATATCAAGGGATGAACATCATGGGATTGCAGCCAGGAAATTAATTAGATGGAAATGGGCATATGAGCCTTACAATTTCAGATGAGGAGGCAGAGACCAGGATCTAGAGCAGTGTTGGCCAGTAGAAACATAATTTGAGTCACAAATGGAGGCCACATATATAATTTTAAAATTTCTAGAAGCCATGATAAAAATGTAAAAAGAAATAGAT